ATTCCTCTGTAATAGCATATGAAACAAGATATAAGTCTCTTCTATTATCCAGAAAACTCCCTGGTGTCCCTTCTCAGTCTCCTCACCCTTTCTTCCCACTTGATGAAACTACTTTCTTCTCATAACGATTTCAATAGACCAATTTTACCTGTTCTTAGATTTCCTATTAATGGAATCATTCAGTATGAACCCTTTTCTGTTTATATTCTCTAACTCCGCATGATATTTTCGGGATTCGGTCATAATGCTCCATCTGTTAGTAGTTTGTTCTTTGTTGATGCATACATATTATTATATTCCATTATATTAATATTCCATGATTTATTCTCCTATCTATAGGTTTTTGTGTTGTTTCTAGTTTGGTGCTATTATGGATAAGGATGCTATAAACATTTTTATACTTTTTTTTTTTTTGCAGGTTTATTTTTTCACTTATCTAGGAAGGGTAGATAATATGTTTAATTTTATAAGAAATTGCCAAATTTTTTCCAAATAGTTGAACTATTTTGTACTTCCGCCAGCAGTGTACAAGAGTTCCAGTTGTTCCACATCCTTATCAACATTAGTGTGGACAGTCTTTTTTATTTTAGAGAATCTAGTGGGTATGAATGGTATCTCAATGTGATTTTAATTTTTATTTCCATAATCACTAACGATGTTGATAATTTTTCATATGTCCCTTAGCCTATCACATATCTTTCTTTTCTAAAGTATGTGTCATTTTATTTTGGTATTTATTCTTTTACTGTTTATGTATGCAGAAATGCATATATCCATTAGTCATATATGTGCATATATATGTGTATATTTCTGAGTCTGTGGCTTGCCTCTTAATTTTCTTGATACTGTATTTCAATAGACACAAATTTTCAATTTTGATAAAAATCAGTTTACCATTTTTTTTTTTACAGTTGGTGTTTTGGGGGTCCTAACATCTAAGATAAAAAATATATCCTATATTTTGTTCTAGAAGTTGTATGGTTCTGATTTTTATGTTTATTTCTGTGATCCATCTTGAATTAAGTTTTGAGTATGGAGTGAGATATTGAGGATCACTTTTTGTAATACTGATACATAGTTGTTTCAGCATCTTTTGATTTTCCTTTTCTCATGAATGACTTGGCACTTCTGATTAAAATTAATACTTGATTTTTCTTGTGTGTATGTATTATGCAGATCTGATTACAATCTAATTAGAACTATCTAAGTGGAATACACAAAGTAATCAGAGTTTCTTCCCAATTTATAATTCCTATTTGCATTTTTTTAGGAGAGATCAGAGTGGCCTTTGTCCTATATAACAACTTAGGTCCTTATTTGTCCACGGAGAATGCCAGCATGAAGTTGGGAACAGAAGCTATGTCCACCAATCATTCTGTTATTGTCAATTCCCCTGTTATTACAGCAGCAATAAACAAAGAGTTCAGTAATAAGGTCTATTTGGCTGATCCTGTGGTGTTCACAGTTAAGCATATTAAGGTAAGAAAATGGTATGTTAAGTTTAGTTGTCTATGCTGTGTGTATTTATTATAGCATAAACACAAATGTATTAATTTTTTTCTATTATTTGAAATATAGCAATTCATTATCTATTAAATGATAGAGATATTTTTTTTTTCTGAAATGAAGGAGAATATTTCTTCAATATATAAATACTTATGGTAAAAACATTCATAGATTGATTTGTAAATACTTCTCCATAATTAAAAAGAACAATATGTTCAGTAGAACTGGACATGGCTTCATATATGATGTTACAAGTAATTATAGCTTTGTGTGTAGATACATTTTTGTGTATGTACAAAGATTGTTTTGTAAATTGAACAAAGATTTCTAAAAACCATCCTTTTGGAAGTTGATTGTTTAGAGCAATTGACTATTTTTTTTTTTTTTTTTAGTATGTAAATTGGTTTCGGTTTACTCTTGTCTGAGCTTGACTAATCTAAAAGAGCCCGAGTCTAGTGAACTAGGGAAGGCCAACCCCGGTAAGGCTTTTTCCTAGACAGCGTGTAAACTCTACCATAGCCTTTCAATTTACAACAATCTTTAGTGGCTAAAACAAAGACGTACAATGTAGTATCTATAAAGAAACAAGATAAATGCAGAAAAATGATGACAAAAAGGTGCATTCCTACCAGAATGCCGCTTACCTAGAATAAGTTGCCAACTTATAAATGGATAGGTAAAATATACGGTAAAAACATAGAGGTGAACACATCAGATTTAGAAACAGAAATTGGAATCAGTGTCCTCAAGGGCACTATAGTGTACTTGCAAGAATCCTAGAATAAGAAAAATAAAAAGTCCAGAGGAAGCACTTTTGTTACAGACCACTGGCTCTAGTTCTAGATGTGTTGTCAAAACACTAACCACTAGCTATTTGTGCTATGTAAACTTAAATTAATTTGAGTTAAATAAAATTAAAAATTCAGTTTTGTAGTCACACTAGCCATATTTCAAGGACTTAGCTACATGTGGTTAGTGGCTACGATATTGGATACCATGACTACAGTCCATCATCAAAGAAAGTTCTATTAGACAGTGCTGTTCTCAACAAAATCTGGAATGTAGTGTCACTCCTTACATACATATGGCTCTCACTTTTGATACCACTTACCAAGCCACCTATGATGAAACTCTAGAAATGAAGACACAGATAAAATACAGTGCTAGCTTTGTGTCCTCGTTTCTTTATTTCTAAGAACATACAGCCCTTACAGCTTGAAATGTCCCTTCTTTTGAATTAACTGTTAGGATCATATATATTATAAATAACCAGAGGAACTTACTGAGTATAACTGGCCTAGAACACAGCAGGTACTCAGTAATTATCTATGCCAACATAGGTCGATGTAGGAGGTACAGAAATAGATCAACTCCCTGCCCTCCATGTCTTTCCATATGGGTCCAGAATTGTCCCTTAGAAGCTAAATTGCTACATTGTCTCTGAATATCACTAACTTATGCAGTTACCAGGTCCTCTGTTATAAAGGCTTTATATCTGAAAAAGTTCCAGGATGCATTTTTTTAGTTCCCCACCATTAATTCTCAGATTAGGTAGAACTTAACATCTAAATTACAACAGGCTTTCTTTTGGTTCCCCAAACTGTTTCTGCATGTGTTTCCAGACTGACTTCTTAGCTTTCTCGCATTTTTCCAATGACCAAAAATAAGATTCATAAGTTATAAATTACTTTTTCAGACCTTAAAGGCCTATCTATAGTCATCCCCATTATCTTTGAAACCATAGACAAGACTTCTGTGTCACTGTGAGATGGCTCTTGCTGCCAGCATAGATTTATTACTCTTACTGAGAATTTATCTTCATAAAATTTCCAAGGACTACTCTAAATGTATGTATGGATTGTATGAAATAATTTAGAATATAAATTATATACTGTTACAAAACTATAACCAGAAGTACATTCTTCTGCCCATGTTTAGCATAAATGCTTCAGTGCTCACACTAGCCAAAGAAACTCTAAGGATGAATCATTTAAGTGTTGTTCTAGTTCCAACTGTCCTAGAGGACCAAATAAACTTAATCTGGTAGTATGACTAGATAACACTGCTACATGTAGGACTATTGTACTTTACAACCATTAAAATTTTGGTATCAGCCATTAAATCAATCACATTAGAAAAGTCATGATCTATGATTTTGTTTTTAATTATCTTAAGCCTTATGATCACATAATTTACAATTTTGTGCTGAGAGTCTATTATCCTCTTCTTTAATCCTCCTAATGAGTTGGCAAAAGCACCATTACCAATCATATATATACCATAATTCCACAGTTGTGTTTTTGAATAGCTGTTTAAAAGACAATTCTAAATTATAATTTAGTCTGACTTAGTAACATATTCATAAGCAGAGTTTGCTATTCTGTCTTTTCACGCTGAATTTTAAAGCATCTGACCTTATAGGTCATCTATAAAATGTGAGAAATGTTAAATATTCTTTATTTGATATTATAAATAGCCATACTAAAATGTCTTTCGTTACGTAAAAAGCAACAGTTTATATACAGCGAATTTTAATTAAATTGGCATAGTTAGGACCAAAAAATGAACACTGCTAGTTTATCTTCATCCCTTCCCTTTAACAGGCTAATGAACATAACTTGAAACACAAGCAAGTCTTGCTATTCTCTAATACAGTGAATGGATTTCCTCAGTATTTAAACGTATTAATATAATCAGTTATGTAAATCTAAATATAAAACCGACCTCCTTCAGATTTTGAGATGGCAATAACCATTTCTGTAAAAAGTTGAACATTACTAACAAAGTCCAATCATACC